TGACAAGGGCCAGAAGGCAGAAGGCGGCAAGGAAGCTGGTGATAGGGAACCCAAGGTTGAGTAACGATATCGTTGATGTGTTGTGAAATTTTTAACCATTGTCATAGGGCAACATTTGTAGTAACTGTTAAATGAGAAACTATTTTTTTCTGTAAGCCTTCATCTTAAGTGAGAATAACAACACAATTGGAAAAGCGTGGTTAATTGCACTGAATTGTGCATGTAGATATTTTTGAAATGGTGTATCTTTGGCTCTGTGTATTTTCACCTCCCCCAAAAAAGGTTGAGAAGTTAGAGGGTTGATATGTTGTGGGGTTGTTAACCAATGTCATAAAACAACATTTGTACTTCTGTTTCATGAGAAACTATTTGTTCTGTAAGCCTTTACCTGAAGTACAATTAAAAAAAAGTAGAAAAAAAGAAAAAAAAAGAATAAAGCAGTTTGCAGCTACTATTGTTCTTACGGTGAAGAATACTGACTACCAAAAGAATGAACAAATCTGTCTTGGAAGAAGTACAACCAGAATGCTCCTTAGAAGCAAGGATGGAGAGACTATGTCTCACATACTTTGGACATGTTAGCAGGAGGGATCTGTCCCCGGAGAAGGACATCCTGTTTGGTAAAGTAGAGGGTCAGTGAAAAAGAGGAAGACCCTCAATGAGATGCATTGACACAGTGGCTGCAACAATGGGCTCAGCATAACAATGATTATGAGGATGGCACAGGACCGGACAGTGTTTCATTCTGTTGTACATAGGATCTGTATGAGTTGGAAAAGACTCGATGGCACCTAAAAACAACAACAACATTGTTTTAACAGTCCTGGTAAATATGTTCATTTCCTGACACTGTATATGAATGCAGAGGTTTGGGTTAGTGGAAGAATAAGGTAGAGACAGTGCAGGGCTGACTTATCCATGTTATTTTCACTTGTAGCAGTAGGAAGTTCTGTGTGTGCAAGGCTTAACCTGATTTCAGAAAATTGCTGAATCCTCCACCAGAGGGAGCTCAGATTCTCTACATGGCTTTGTGGCTTAGCTCCCTAATTGACCTGTAATGGTGTTCCCTCATCCATTTGGAAAGAGAAGTACTTCAGATACTTGGCATGTTTAATTGTTTTCAGGTTTCTGTTTGTTGTCATGCATAGAGAGCTTACATCCAAAAGGAAGAGTGAAACAAGAAGCAAGCCTAAGTCTGTGTGAGATGTTATGAGGTCACCGTTCCAGAAGAGTCAACACTCTTCAGATAAGGCTCCTCCTGCCTCCCTCAGATGCTGAAATTTTTCTCGTCCCAGTCTAGGTACATTCCTTATTCTGCCTACAAGCCATGGTTACTATTTTCAGGCTATCTCTGGCCCTATTCCATTTTAACCCAACTCCTTTCACACTCCACAGAAGAGGTTAGACCTCTGAGGGGAGGACACACTCTACCAGACTTTTGTGTCTTCCTCTCCAAAGACACCAACATTGGAGTTGCTCAAAAGTTGGACAGTATCCGGGGATACAAGACCTCTTCCCACAACACTTTCTCCTCTTTTTTCATAGTTCTCCTTTCATCTCTTCCCAGTTGCAGTGAGGCCTGGCTAGGCAGGCTGTATTGTCATCTCAGCCTAGGAACTTAGCTATTGTTTCTCAGTCCAGTACCATATCGACAATTGGCTATTTGTAGCTGGAGCCCCACCCTCTCAGAATCATTACAGAGTCCAAGCTGTATCCACCACTAAAGCTGAAGAAAAATACTGCACAATTAGAACCCCTCACTGCCCCTCCACAACTTCATTCTGAGCAGCACATGTGGATTCACACATTCAAGCATCTGTATGTGGATTGATGGTGTTGAGCAGTCAGCAGTCATTGAACTGCAGCTTGTTAGCCAGTAGGATTATTAGCACCACTACAGAAGTGGTTAGATGTGCCTGCCACATCTTCTTAGGATCAGTTAGTAAAAAACAAAAAGGAAAGAAAACCCCAATAAGCCCAAGTAGATTCAGACAGTTTATTACTTACACAGACAGAAAAGCAAGATCAGTATGATGTTAGCTTTCTGTGTTTCTAGTCTCACAGGATGACAGTAAATCAGGGGGTGAGGTAATGGGCAACACAGGCAGTGGCTCCTCTGCTTCTGTGAAGCCAACCTTAAACTATAAGGAAAGAGGTTTTATAGCCTGTAGTTGAACCCGAAGGAGGGGGTGAAGTGGAAAGTCCCTGCTCACACTAGAGAAGTAAATAAGAAACTGTATCATGGAAGTGCCTCATATTTTATATTTGAGGAAGAACTTCAGGGTCAGATTAGACTGAGACTCAGGTCAGACTGTAGTTAAGTCTTTTCTATGAGGCCTGTGTGAGAGACATGCAAGGTCATTGGGGTGCCAGGGAGGATATGTTCTTCTACATGTGGGAGGTTCTTACCAAAGGTAAATAGGAGCTAAAGGGATAGTAGAATAGAACTTGGAATAAAAAGATGTTTCTCAAATTTTAATTTTTTCAAAATAATCAAGATATCTTTTCTTTGACTAGAGAGAGAAATAGCTACTGAGGAGAGTATGGGCGTCACTTTGAAGTGAGAAAATATATTCCAAGCATTTTTCATGAGAAGCCTAGCTCTCTTCAAGAAGGCTTCAGCCAAGAAATTCCATTCTTAAGTATATTCTCGAAAGACTTGAAATCAGAGACTCAAACAGAGACCTGTATACCAATGTTTATTTCAGCACTATTCACAATAGCCAACAGGTGGAAACAAACTTTAGGCATTTATGCCTATCAATGTATGAATGGATCAACAATATGTGGTACCTACATACAGTGGAATACCATTCAGCCAGCAAGAGAAATGAAGTCTTGATACATGCTACAATATGGATGGAGCTTGAAAACATTACGCTTAGTGAAATAAGTCAATCACAAAAGGAAAAATATTGTATGACCTCACTTATACAAAAAGATAAGAACAGGCAAATGTATAGAGACCAAAGTTTATTAGTGGTTACCAGAGGTGAGAGGGAGGGGGATAGCGGGATTATTGCTTATGGAGTACTGAGTTTCTGATTACAGTGATGGAAAAACTGCACTAATGAAGGATAGGTTTGCACAGCTGATTAATGTAATTCCTGTCAAAAGTTTTTACACCTGTAAAAAGTTGAATTGGCAAAAGTCATGTGATAGATATGTTTACAACAACAACAACACAGCAGCTGCTGAGGTTCTGCTTACGTAAAACCAAACACTTCATGGGGTTTAGTTCCTTGGTTGGGAGGTTTAGGGTCATGGTTTCTTGGGACATCCCAGTTAATTGGCCTAATATTGTGTTTAATGCTTCTGTTCTACCTCCTAGTTAGTTACATAGTGCCTGAGGTGTTAAAAGCTTGCAAGTGTCATGCAAGTTACAATAATTGGTCTCTATTCACCTACAGCAACAGAGGAAGAGAGTCAGGAATAGGAAGAGGAAATGGAATATGTGGCTAATTACTTCCATGTACAACTGCCCTCTTTGCCATGAGAGCAGAAGAACTGAATGGTGCCTAGCTACCATTACTGAATGTTTTGATCAAAGATTCTGTAGAAGAATCCTGATCAAAAGGGAGAAAATGGTAAACAGAATTTCAAATTCTCATGGAATCCAGATATTCCGGAGCCATGGAGGCTGGATGAACCCCAGAAACTATTGCTCTGAGATAATCTTTAAACCTTATGCCAAATACATATCCTAAAGTTTTCTTAAAAACAAACAGTAGTTTAGTTTAACTATTAAAGAATGTCTGTCTTGAGCATTGTGCTCTTCTAAGATCTATCTACTGTATTTTTACACAAATAATGCATGCCTTCTACGTTTGTTTGCCAACTGCTCTCATCCCCTGTGAGGTATTTTCATAAGCATGCTATGCAATTTTTTTTATAGGAACATGTGAAAAATTAGCATAGCAGTGCTTATGAAAATAGCTCGCAGGAGGAGGGAGCAGTTGGCAAACAAACGTAGAAGGTGCACATTATTTGCGTAAAAATACAGTATATGGGATCAAATTGACAATAGCAACTCCAAAGATTAAATAGAAAACTTAGGGGGCAGTGAGTTTATATTAATGAGGGAGGAACAACTCAGAAAAAGAGGGCGAGAATGGTTGTGCAACTTGAAAAATGTAATAAATGTCACTGAATTGTACATATAGAAGTTATTGGTGTATGTTTTGCTGTGTCCTCAATAACAACGACAAAAATACAATAAATTATTAAAAAAAGACTGAAGGATTGCTAAGAGTTAAAAAAAAAAAAAAGGCTTCAGTTCGCCTCTTCATATCACAAGATTCTGGTGATTTACAAATAATGCTAAGCTCCAACAACCTTGGTCACATCATAGTGTCACAGTTTACTCTAAATTTCCTGGCTGTGTGAAAGGTGGGTGGTCAAGAGCCCTCAAGTTCATTGACACTCACTGGCTTCTCATTTCAGGGTCCAGGGTTTCCTTTGATACAGCTGTCCAGTTGAAACAGAGAGTAACCAACTAACATTTCATTTGTATAGCCCTGGAGTCTCCAGTTACCATTTTGATTGCATTTCTTGCAAATTACTGATGGTAGTGGATTCATGCCTGAAAAGAAAATGACTGGAAAGATAATTCACTACAGGCCTTTTCTGGACCATGAATCACTAGAGTACCTTTATTTTCATCAGACTGGATTTCAAAGAGTCTTGGTCATTATAATTGATTCGGTAATTGAAAATAACTAGGGAATTGGAAGTTTACTCAAATTTGTTAATTAATATAATCTAAATAATCAAGTTAGCTATGCATGTAGTGCTTCAGTATTTATTTATTCCAAAACCAGTTTTTATAAATCCTGTGGACAAGGTACTGTCAGTACAAATATGAGTATCCTCAAGGAATTTTCAGTCTAGACAAAAAGAGAAGAAACAAGATACCTGTGGGAGAGAGGAGAAATATGAAAAGTGCAGTGTGATATTTGCAACACGAAATGGTATTGTGCATTCAGAGGAGGGCGAGATCAATTTTAACTAGGAAGATTTGGGAAGTTTTATTGGAGCTCAAGGCATTTGAGCTGGACTTACAATTTTGTAGACATGCTACACCTTAGAAGAATAGAATATGAGTGTTTCTCTGTTTTCATATGCAAGATAGTGGTAAGAGGAAAAGATTGCCAATATTTGGCCATTTATAGGAATTTCCAGCCAATACATATCCTATTCAAGTCATTATATCTTAAAGAATTGGTATCCTAAATGATAAAAGGGGTTCAGTTTACACAGTTGGCAAGAGGGAAGCTCAAGAGGATAATCTGTAACACTTTTGAGAAAATGAAGTGTAAAGGTCTAGATAAAGAGATAAGAAATACCTGTGGGAATGTATGAAGCCCTTTAAGGAATATTGTAGACTAGATGAGGTTGTTGACTGTCTGGAGGCCATTTCCGCAAACCATAGTTTAATTGGTCCCATCAACAGCGTTAAGGGTCCTGGATCCTGTGTGTTCTTAAATCCAGCCTATTGAGTCACATGATCTGAAACTCTGGTTCTTCTGCCTAGAGGTACTTTAGGAAGGTTGAGAAATTAAATGGAACATGACAGCATATGGGTTTGGGCAGATCCAGTAATACAGAATAAGGAGAATATTCAAGATGAAATTTCTAATGTCAGAAAAGAATATGGCCAATTCAAGATATGAGAGTAGTCATTGGTCTCCTTCATGTCTCACTCACTGTTACCTCATCTGATTAATCATTTCCTTGTAACATCACAGAAAGCTCATTAATTTTCTTGAAATGAGCTATTCCAAATCTGTTTCCCTACATACCCAAGGTATCCAGAGACAGTAAATTAGCTATAAGCAATTTCAATATGTTAGAAAGCCTAACAATTTGTGTTATCACTATTTCCTTCTTTTGACTATTATGCCTAGATATGTTGTTGTTGTTAGTTGTCGTCAAGTCAATCCCAACTCATGGAGACCCCAGGTATGCAGAGTAGAATGCTCCATAGGGCTTTCAAGGCTGTGACCTTTCAGAAGCAAATCACCAGGCCTGCCTTCTGACGTGCCTTTGGGTGAGTTTGGACCACCAAAGTTTTGGCTAGTATTCGAGTGCTTAACAATTTGCAGGGACGACATATGTCCTTGAATTAAAACAAACAAGCAAAACCTCCCCCCTCACACCCCCCCACCCAACAGCAGCAAAACAGCATGGAGCATTACTAATGAAAATATAATGATAGCTCTTGTGTGGAAGGTACTCTACCACATATTGTGTACATTATCTTATTTAATTCTTGCAAGACTCTGAGGTAAACATTACTATTTCCATTTTGCAAATGAAGAAACTAACGCCAGAAAAGCTCAGCACTTTGCCCAAACCCTGGTGGCATAGTGGTTAACCAAAAGGTCGGCAGTTCAAATCCACCAGGCGCTCCTTGGAAACTCTATGGGGCAGTTCTACTCTGTCCTATAGGGTCACTATGAGTCAGAATCGACTCGACGGCAAAGGATTTGGTTTTTTTTTTTTTTTTTTTGGTTTGTACAGCTTACAAATTGGGTAGCTAAGATTCAGGCACTGCTGACTTCAAAGCTGGTTGATGCTTTTTCCATTTTGAAAATTAAAGGGTCCATTGTGGTTGTACATTCATGGGGTTGCTTAGTGGGTTTGTCTTCTAGGTGAAGGACCCCCAGGAAGATTCCCATTTTACTTGCCAACACTGGATCCCACAAGAAGAGAGACACATACATAATGAGGAGAGTCTTCATGGCCAGGAGCTTCTGTTGAGGAGCCTAGTGACAGAGTCTGACACTGGCAGTCAGAGACAGAGAGATGATGAGGTTGAGCATTTGCTCCTGTACAAAACTCTCAGGTCTCAAGATGTCTTGCTCCAGGTAGATATGCTCCAGCAAACAACCCTGAGGCATCTGAATTGGCAATGCTCAACTGTGGACAAAATTGACAGCCCTTTCCTGTTTGACAGCTTTTCCCATTGACAAAGGCATTATTCCCCCACTTGGATTTTCCAAAGGTACTAATGGAGGCCTGAGAACTATATACTTTTCCATTTTAATAAAATTTGTTCTGTTCTGTTACAATAAAATTAAAATGCTGATTTTAGAAATATTTTAAAATATTAAAAATTACAAGGAAAAGCTACACTTGAGCCCCACATCTTAGAGACAACCTGTGTGTTTCCTTAAAAACATTTTTTTCAATGTCTAGTGTGTCTTTCTAATGTTTTGTTTTGCATAATTATGAGCTTAATATACTTTTATTAGGTATCCTGCTTTTTAAACTTGACATACAGGCATACCTCAGTGATACTGAGGGTTCTGTTCCAGACCATCACAATAAAGCGAGTCACATGACTTTTTTTGTTTCCCAGTTGTCATGGATTGAATTGTGTCCCCCAAAAAATGTGTGTAGCAACTTGGCTAGGTCGTGATTCCTAGTATTGTATGATTGTGTTATCTGATGTGATTTGCTTATGTGCTGTAAACTGTATCACTATGATGAGATTATATGTGATCTCCTTATGTGTTGTAAATTCTATCACTGTGATGAGGTTATACTGATGAGGTTGACAAGATTAGTGTCTTAATGCAATCTCTTTTGAGATATAAAAGAGAGAAGCGAACAGACACTTGGGAACCTCATACCACCAAGAAAGCAGTGATGGGAGCAGAGCGTGTGCTTTGGACCTGAGGCTCCTATGCACAGAAGCTCCCAGACCAAAGGAAGACTGATGACATGGACTTTCCTCCATAGCCGATGGAGAAAGCGTTCCCCTGGAGCTGATGCCCTGAATTTGGACTTGTAGCCTACTGGACTGTGAGAGAATAAATTTCTGTTTGTAAAGCCATCCACTTGTGGTATTTCTGTTGGAGCAGCACCAGATGACTGAGACACCAGTGCATACAAAAGTTATGTTTACGCTATACGGTAGTCTATTAAATGAGCAATAGCATTGTTTCTAAAAAAAGTACATATTGTAATTAAAAAATACTTTATTGCTAAAAATTGCTAACAATCGTCTGAGCCTTCAGTGAGTTGTAATCTTTTTGCTGGTGGAGGGTCTTGCCTCGATGTTGATGGCTGCTGACAGATCAGGGTGGTGGTTGCTGAAGATGGGTGTGGCTGTGCAATTTCTTAAAATAAGACAACAATGAAGTTTGCCAAATGATTTGACTCTTCCTTTCGTGAAAGTTTTCTCTGTAGCACGTGATGTTGTTTGATAGCATTTTACCAACAGTAGAACTTTCAAAACTGGAGTCAATCCTCTCAAACCCTACTGCTGCTTTATTAACTAAGCTTATGTAATAGTCTAAATCTTTTGTAGTTATTTTAACAATGTTCACAGCATCTTCACCAGGAGTCGATTCCATCTCAAGAAACCACTTTCTTTGTTAATCCGTAAGAAGCAACTCCTCACAGTTAAAGTTTTAACATGAGATTTCAGCAACTCACTCACATCTTCAGTCTCCACTTCTAATTCTAGTTCTTTTGCTGTTTCCACCTCATCTACAGTTACTTCCTCGACTGAGGTCTTGAACCCCTCAAAGTCAGCCATGAGGTTTGGAATCAACTTCTTCCAAACTCCTGTTAATGTTAATATTTTGACCTCCTCCCATGAATCATGAATGTTCTTAATGTCATCTAGAATGGTGAATCCTTTCAAGAAGGTTTTCAATTTACTTTGCAGAGATCCATCAGAGAGTCACTATGGCAGCTGTAGCCTTATGAAATGTATTTCTTAAATAATAAGACTTGAAAGTTGGAATTACTCCCTGATTCATGGGCTGCAGAATGGATATTGTGTTAGCAGGCATGAAAACAACATTAACCTCCTGTACGTCTCCATCAGAGCTCTTGGCTGACCAGATGCATTGTCTATGAGCAGTAATATTTTGAAAGGAGTCTTTTTTTCTGAGCAGTAGATCTCAACAGTGGGCTTAAAATATTCAGTAAGCCGTGCTGTAAGCAGATGTGCTGTCATCCAGACTTTATTGTTCCATTTACAGAGCACAAGCAGAGTAGATTTAGCATAACTCTTAAGGGCCCTAGGATTTTCAGAATGGTAACTGAGCATTGGTTTCAACTTAAGTCACCATCTGCATTAGCCTCTATCAAGAGAGTCAGCCTGTCCTTTGAAGCTTTGAAGCCAGGCATTGACTTTTCCTCTATGGCTATGAAAGTCCTAGATATCATCTTCTTCCAATATAAGGCTGTTTTGTCTACATTGTAAACCTGTTTTTTAGTGTAGGTACCTTCATCGATTATCTTAGCTAGATCTTCAGGATAACTTGCTGCAGCTTCTACATTATCATTTGCTGTTTCACCTTGCACTTGTATGTTATGGAGATGGCCTCTTTCCTTAAACCTCAAGAACAAAAGTCTGCCAGTTTCAAACTTTTCTTCTGCAGTTTTTTCACCTCTCTCAGCCTTCATAGAATCGAAGAGAGTTAGGGCCTTGTGCTGGATTACGTTTAAGGGAATGTGGTGGCTAGTTTGATCTATCCAGACCAATAAAACTTTCTCCATATCAGCAATACGGTTGTTTTGCTTTCTTGTCATTCGTGTGTTCACTGGAGTAGCACTTTTAATTTCCTTCACGAACTTTTTCTTTGCATTCACAACTTGGCAAATTGTTTGGCACAAGATAGGCCTAGCTTTTGGCCTATCTTGGCTTTTGACATGCCTTTCTTACTAAGCTTAATCATTTCTAATTTTTGATTTAAAGTGAGAGACATGTGACTCTTCCTTTCACTTAAACACTTAGAGGCCATTATAGGGTTATTAATTAGTCTCATTTCAATATTGTCCTGTCTCAGGGAATAGGGAGGCCTGAGGAGAGGGAAAGAGATAGGGGAGGGGCGGGTCAGTGGAACATTCAGAACACACACAACATTTATTGATTAAATTCACCATCTTATATAGGTGCAGTTAATGACACCCTAAAACAATTACAGTAGTTTTCAACATCAAAGATCACTGATCACAGACCACCATAACAGATATAATAAAGAAAAAGTCTGAAATGTGAGAACTACCAAAATGTGACACAGAAACACAAAGTGAGCAAATGCTGTTGGAAAAATAGTGCTGAGGTTGCCACAAACTTTCAATTTGTAAAAAACATAATATCTGCAAAGTGCAATACAATGAGGTATGCCTGTACTCTTCTCCAATACCATCTGGGATACCATTTGTTCACACACTTACTATAGTCTTTAGTAAATGTCAACTTCTTGGTCATCTTCTCTGCCCAGATTTAGATGTTCTTTCTACATCAAGAACAAAAAATAAAGGAAAAACTGTATCTGTAAAAATTGATATTAGAAAAGAATTATCAAATGAGATATATTCTTTGGAAGTTACTGAATTTTAACAGTAAAGATGAAATTCTTCAATCATTGAGGCAGAAAAACAAAAAAGCAATTCAGTAGAGACAAAGAAAAAAACCCACAAGTAAATATAAAGTAAAAAAGACTCTTTTCCCATTTTTCTCTCTGCTGTATTCAATGTCATAAGAGTCAAGAGAATTAGGACAAAAGAGGAATGTTTTATAGCTTACATATTATTTTTCATCTATAAGCAGTGCAGAACAGCATTCTAAAATATGTAAGGTTATTGAGGGAGCATCCACGAACTCTCCTTGTAATACAGTCAGTTAAGGCATAAATCAAAGCAAAATAATTGGAAAAAGGGAATATGCTATATGAAATAAAAATGAAAAGCATTGAATTTATTTACATAGAAAACCAAGGCTAATTAATTGAAGTAATTGTCTTTGCAAAGCAAACATTTAAATTATTGAAAGAAAAACTATATGTACAACATAAAACACACAACAACTATAGTGAATTAGGTTAAGTCTGAAGAGCATTCAACAAGAATCAGGTGAGAGAAAGAGTTGGTGAGGGAACATTCAGTGTACTGAAGGTGTTAGCAAACTAACTTCCTCATCTATTATGACAGGATAGTAAGTGTCTTCATTATCTAGTGCTTCTATAACAGAAATACCACAGGTGAATGGCTTTAACAAACAGAAATTTATTTTCTCATGATTTAGGAGGCTAAAAGCCTGAATTCAGAGTGCCAACTCTGGAGGAAGACTTTCTCTCTCTGTTGGCTCTGGTGAAGATGCTTGTCTCCTTTCAACATTTGTGGGTCTGGCTTTACTTGGAAATCTCTGTGTGTCTTGGCATCAGTCTTCCTATGGGTCTAGGAAATTCTCCATGCGAGGACCCTGAGTCCAAAGGATGCACTCCTCTCCTGGCTCTTCTTTCTTGATGGTAGTAGATCCCTTCCTTTCTTCTTGCTTATCTCCCCTTTTATCTCTTGTAAGATAAAAAATGATGCTTGCCACACCCCAGGAATCTCCTCTTAGATCTAATCAGGGCTGCGACCTGAGAAAGGGTGTTGCATCCCACCCTAATCCTCATTAACATCCTGCTTCATTAACATAATGGATAGCTCACTCCCAAATGGGACCATAACTACAGGCATAGAGGCTAGGATTTACAACACATCACAAACTGGAGGATAATCAGATCACAAAATGGAGGACAACCACAGAATACTAGGAATCCGGGCCTAGCCAAGTTGACACATATTTTGGGGGGATATAATTCAATCCATGACAGTAAGAAATTATTTTTGGTCTGAGAGTTGTAAAGAAAGAAGTATTGGTTAAAGAGTAAATATTTAAGGTGATACAGATAAATAATACGAGAGAAATAGATCATATACCTTCTAAATTGTA